ACAAAAATCATTTTATGGTTGGGGGTCACCACAACATGAGGAACTGCATTAAAGGGTCACAGCATTAGGAAGGTTGAGAACTACTGATTTAGAGGTTCTGAAAATATTGTGTAACAGTGTGCAACAAAAAGGCCTATTTGTGGCCGACGGAGGGATTAGTTTTACCACTACAACAATGCCTCTGCTCACACAGCCGTCTCAGTGCACCAGTTTTAGGCAAAAAGCAGCATGCCTCTCTTGCCCCATGCACCTGACCTTGCTCCGTGCGACTTCTTTTTGACTCTGCGTATGAAGAGGGACATGAAAGGACGGTGATTTAACGAAGTAGAAGAGGTGAAGAAAAAAACAAGGGAGGTGCTGTCAGTCATCCAAACTGATGAGTTTGAAAAATGTTTCCAAGAATGGAGTCACAGATTTGACAAATGTATTAAGTGTAATGGAGAGTACTTTGAAGGTGATATGGTTGTTTGTAAAAAAATAAAATTAAATACACAACTTTGGGGGGAAAATTCATTTGTTTTTTTTTGGACCCCTCATCGGTGTGTATTGATTCATTCTCTTCTTTAAAGTACGTTGGACGTAAAGACTCCAAGTCCACTTCAGCTTTACTTCCCGGACTTTTTTAGCCTCTCAGATCTGAGAGGGAAGGCCTTGGGAGGGTTTTGTTTGTTGGTGTGTCTCATGAAGTAATTTTTATTTTATTTTCCACGTTAGATCCTCCATTTGGGGGGTTCCTCATCCTTCCTCGCTCCCTGTTCCCCGTGATGAACTATTTCATAGGAAAGAGGGAGACGTGTGAGGACGTGAGGACCAGGTGATGTTTCGTTCTGTTGTAGGAAGGTCACTAGGAGTCACGACCCTCGGGACAGGCCAGCAATGACAAGGAAAGGAAGGAGAGTGAGTCATCAACCGTGAAGCAATCGATGATCCTTATCAGAAGGCTGTACTTAGCATGGGGTAGTCTGACTGCTCTTTAAAAAAAAACCAAAACGTTTTACTGAGGGCTCTGACAGCTCTTACAGGCATCCATACATCAACTGTATCAAGCACATTTGTACATATGCTGCCATCATTATTTTCTAGATATTTATTTTCTGTTGAGCTCTTGGTGTCAGCTCCTCTTTCCTTCCCCCACTCCCCCCACCCTCATGACCCCTTTATAAATTATTATTATTTTCATATCTCGCACTGAACACTGTCTCCCTTCCCCCGTGGTTTCTGTTGTTCATCCCCCTAGGTGGTGTGTGTGTGTGTGTGTGTGTGTGTGTGTGTGTGTGTCGATCACTGTGATCCGTTCCCCCTTCCTCCTCTCCTCTCCCCACTTCCCCCTGTCCTCCTGGTATCACGACTCCCGGTCCCATTCCTGGATTCTGTGTGTCGTGCGTTCTTATGAGTCTGGCTGCTTTTCATGGCAGACAACCGTCATGTAGTCAGCCTTCAAGCGTATCGGGGCAATCATGTGCTTGCAAGCAGCATCTTAAAACTGGCATTATTCCGGGGAACACTGTGGGGAATCACTTTACTTAGGAGAATGTGACTGAGATTCATCTCCAGCTCAAGGAACGTGAAGGCCTTCCTCCACAAAGACTACTGGTTCCTGAGAACTCCAAAGCATTGGGTGGGGCATATATTTTCAAAGCTTTTTTATAGCTATGGCCTAAA